CTTTCTCGGAAGGAAGTTCATACTGCAAAGCACAGTTCTTGAGATTGCCCAAGTTCCACCTTATGCCGAAATGATTGGATACCTTATTTTGATCGTTTGAGGTAAAAAGAAAAAAAAAACTTAGATATTTCACAGACATTCATTTCCACAAAAAGAATTAAAAGTTCATACTTACTAGCAGTTTATTCATCTATTCAACTTAAAATTAAAACTTACGTAGAACGACAATTAAAGTTAATACACAATCATCAAATCAACAATTGAACAAATATACAGAAAATTAATCAGAATCCTGTAGTTAAGCAAAACCTATCAATAAAACCATAGGAATTTTTTTACCTTTACAGTGAAGTCATGAATAGACTTCTCAGTGGCAGCTCTGGCATAAACCATAGGAAACGACCGAGATTTCGAGGCAAACCCAGAAATATTTGAGGATTGAATTGAGAACCCATGTTGAAAAAATGCGGAGTTGGAGGACCCAAATTTGGATGAAGCTTTTAGAATAGGCATAAAAGAAGAATCTGTGCTTGACTGCAGTTTGGCCTGTGGCAAAACATGTAATGGTGCTGAGAAAACTGAAGAAAAAGCCATGGAAGCCATTGCTGAATACTGTGTAAATGGATTTACGAATTGGAAAACTCTTTGTGCTGTGTGCGCCGATTACATGGACGATGAGTCCTTTTGGGTTGGATGCGTGGAAGGAAATGAAACACGTGGTTTCAGAAACCCCACCTATTACTATTTACTCATTTCAATGTAGCTTTTTGCCTTTTCTTTTCTTGAATAATAAGTTACTTATTTTAGTGATTTTTTTTCTTTTTTACGTTGCACAAGAGTAAGGTATTATGTCAATGTTTGAGGTAGGGATGGCCAATTCGAAATTTTAAAATTGAAAATCGAATGGGGTGAAAAAATCGAATCGATAGTGTAATAAGGTAGTTATGATTTTGATTTTAATGATCCGGTTTGGGGTGGAGCGAGTATGGTATTTAGCAACGGTGCCCCGCCCCGAACCTATTACCCGTTAAAAAAAAAAAAATTAATTGGGCAATTGGACTTTCCATTATTCTTTCCCAAAATTAATTGGGCAACATTACAAGTAAACCCTTAACTTTGTAACATAACTCTAACCCTACACGTTAAAAATGAAAATTGTAAATCAAACTTATAAAACACTTGTCCACTCAACCAATGAACCAAATCAAATTTGATGGCGCTCTGCTGCCTGTACCTCAACTTCAAATTGTAGTAATTAGTAACGAAGTCTACCATCTTGTGAGCACACTCCCTGAGCTGTTCTGTGTCCATTGGCTTCAAACCATCTTCCCTGTACAATTCAACAAAACCCAGATACATTATACTTGATTGCATTTTCTCTATAATATTATTTAAATATATGANTTCTTTATTGTGTATAAAATTTTGTTCATTCTTCATACTCCGAAACTTGTGCAAGGTTTAGTGAGGAGGACATTGACGAAGAGGTACTTTTTTTTGTTTAAATTTTCAGTTAAGACCATTCTTGATAATGTAATATGGTTATATTATTACTCTAATTACATTTCTTATTTACTATAAAGGAATCAATTTTGAATTTTAAATTTTGACTCTTGACATATACTAGTAAGAGTTGTGGGGAAGAATGAATATTGACCTATACTAGTAAGAGTCTTGACCTGTGTTGATAATATTGTTTGTTAAATTCGAATTTTGCATTTGGAAGTTAGGATATTGTTTGCATTTTTATTTGTGATATTGTTTACTAAATTGGTTTAGTATTGTGTTTTTGTTTTTATTAGCTTTTTTTATAATTTTTTTTCCCAATTTGACGGTCAGAGTTTGGACTTATAAAAAATAATTTATTTTCGTGGTTATTAACCAAACCGAGATATGAACCGACTTACGTGGTCATGGTGCGATTAGGTATAACAAAAAATTTGGTGGTGAGGTTATTGTTTTAGCCGAACCGACCTCGAACCGAACCGTTATCATCCCTAATTTGATGATCATTATTTTGAGAAAATAAAATTTTGAATAATGATTTTTAAAAAGTGCGTGGTTAAAAAGTAGGAAAATTTTTAAATTTATGTTTAAAATATTTTATTATATAAATGTGTCGTTAAAAATGAGTATAAAAATTAAAATTCTTTGAAATAATGATCGTCAATCATGGGCATACGAATCTAATGTGAAATGTGTGTTGAAAGAAATTCCAGTAATTGGGATAGATGTCGGAGCAAGGAAAGTGACAATTTATAAGATGTTCATTAAGAAACTATACATTCTAGTTAAAATTCGATTTTTTAGTAGATTTTGATAAAAATTGATAAAATATATAGTTAAAAAGTTGTGTATTTTATGATATATGTGACTAAAATTAATAATTGACTTTGACTAAAATAAAAATACGAAATTTAATCTATATCAAATATGATCGTATGATTTTAAACGCATGCTTGATTATTATCTAAGAATACGTGCCTACACGTCTCAACGGGTTTTATAGTGTGTTTGCATTTATCTATAAATCCCAACAATTGTTATGAAAAATTTGATTGAGCGTTGAGATGCTTATAAAATTTCTTATTTGTCCGAGAATAAGAATTTAGGGATCTAATATTCGTTGTATGCGAGAATAAAAATTGAAAAAGTCTAGTTGAATTAGGGGCCCAACGAACAAGGGATGATCCCTTGATCAATGAATCGGCATTGGCTCGACAAAGGCTCTGCTATAGACCGTCCGAGCTAGGACCATCCCGAATTAGTAATGAAAATGAAAAATAATGTCAAAGAAATATAACAAGAAATGACAAATTGAAGTTGGTCATCATCAAGAACTATTGACAACGAATGTAAGAAGGTTACCTGCCATAAATCAATGAGTGTACTTATAAAATATTTAAATAAAAATGAATTTAGCATAGGGTACCGTTATTTCCATTCACAATTTTTAAATATCTATCTCACTCTAAGTTTATCCTTATTAAAATTTTAAATTTTATAAATAATATTATATTCTTCCACGTTTATTACAATATTAACCTTATTAAATTTATTCATTTAAAACTATACATCCACACCAAATTTCAACACAAATGTGCCCATTTTTTACCTTCAAAATTTCTTGTCTCAATAATTTACAAGTTATCATGAAACTACCATACATTGAGACAAAATGGGAAAACTATCAATATACTAAACTACACATGATAAACTAAATATCTTAATAAAGACAAAAAAAAAAAAAAAAGAAATACAACCAATTAAAACATGCCCTGCGATCTGTCGTCGTCGTTTTTTACCAAACAATTATTTTATAAAAATCACATTTTTTTGCAATTAACAAAAGTTCTTGTCGGTTCTGGTTCTGGTTCTAGTTCTAGTTCTAGTTCTAGTTCTGGTTCTAGTTCTAGCTCTAGTTCTTTTGAGAAGTTCTAAAAGATAACCTTAATAATAAAAAATAGGCATTGGATGGAAATACAAAATTTTAAAAATGAAAAGAAAGAATCACATTAAAGTTCCATACAATCCTCGAATGAGTTAAGTACAAACGGATATTTTTCAGTAGAAAAATCCACTTTTTAGAGTGATAAAATATCTAAAAGTTGCAATTTTGTGACTGTGTGGCTTTTTACAAGAGCCCAAACGCAAAAAACGATATGAACTTTTACAAAATATTTTGTGGGTTCATGAAAAAAAATTACTACATTATCATCGAATAATAATTTAGTGAGTAGATAAAGCAAAAAATTTTGAAAATGCAATGATATGATTAAATTAATCCTTACCTAAAGATTTTGGTATGCAATTGAGACTTGCGATAGCAACAGTAATATGGATATATGTTGATAATATGATGAGAAAATTTATGTCCTCAAAATTTTCTCCTATTTCAACAATTTCCTCCATTGCAGAATATAGGTATCTTTACATTGGAATTAGAAGAGCAAAATTGCGACGATGATTTTGGTGGACATGAGAAGCTATCACTGTTAAAAGAACATTTTCTTTGCAGATCATAGCCTAAGTCTTGGTGTGGATGTATAGATACATAAAGTTATGGTCATCCTGCCCCCGAAGTGGATATAATTAGAATGATGTATTTTACTTGATTTTATTTTTATCTATCTAAGTAAATTTAGGGTGTGGTTGACACTCATTTTAGAATAGTGATTGATGGAAGAATGTGTAGTGGCAAAGTTATGAAAAGTTTTAGATTTGTGTGTAATATTATTTTATTGGAAGAATGTATGGTTGAAATGAAATAAGAGAAAAAATGAGAATAATAATGAGATAAAGCATGTGTGCCAAACATGAGCTTACTTGAGATTAAAAATGTAATATAACTTTTTTTAAAAAAGGTAGATGAATATATAAAAATCGTAGATATAAATAACTGTTCCATTTAGCACATCCAAAATATTTCTCAAGTTAATTTCTTATAGGAAGAGTAACAACTGCAATCCCTAACCTTTCAGATTTTAGCAGGAATTACCCAAATCTTTCATTTTAGTTGAGGTCCAAAACCTTTTATTTTAAATGCACCTAGAGGACAACTTCCACAAAATTAAAAAGATAACCTATTTTGACCAGTTAAATGAAGGGTGAAATTGTAACTTTACATTTTTTTCAAATAAAAGAATAAAAATAATTAAATCAAAAAGAAAACACAAAAAAGAAAGATATGCACCCTACGCCCAACCCACTCATTGACCCCACCCCACCCCTCAACCAAAACTAGATGAAACTACCATTCACGGTCGCCTACCGCTACACCCAATCACACAATTGATGCACAATTTCATCATCTGACATGTCTTTTTATCCTTTAATAAATGAACAGGATAAATGATCACATGAATTTCAGAATGAACTCAACAAATTCAATCAAAATCCAAAAAAATAACATTGAAACATATACACATGTATGCATATCTATATAAACATAGATATAGGACGATGAACGAAGGGAAAAATTAGAGAATCTTGGAGGTGCCATGACAATGAACCTAGGAGCCCCAGGTACACGAGTAAGGCTCGTCGATATTGTATGGCAGATCTTTGAGGCCCTCATCCTATTCCCCCAACACACCTTTCAGGAATTTCAGCATCTTTCCAGCATGGTCCGATCGAATGTCTTCAAAAAAATTTTGGTACTACAATTGAACGGCATATTATTATAGAGAGGGAAAGAGAGAAAATGGTGGATCTAATGAAGGGAAGTGTGTGAAGTAGTGGGTTATGGATCGAAATTCGTAATTGCAAGAAATTTATGAAAATTGCAGTTTGTACTTGATTTTGCAAAGTTTTGTAAGGGGACAATGAAATTGTGTGTTGATGGCGAGGTGATTGGGTGGGTGACAGTCGACGATTAATGGTGGTTTCATCTTGTTTTGGTTAAGGGGTGGGCGGGATGGAGTAGGGGTGGTTGGAGAAGATGAAGTGTATGGGTGGGTTGGGGTAAGGTGCATGTTTTTCTTTTCTTTATTTTTATTTTTGGTTTTTTTATTTAATTATTTTCATGGTTTTATTTGAAAAAACATAGATTTCCAATTTTACCCTTCATTTAACTAGTCAAAATATGTCAATTTTTAATTTTTTGTGGAATTTGTCCTCCATGAGCAATCGAAATAAAAGGTTTGGGACCTCATCTGTTAAAATGAAAGATTTGGGTAATTTCTAGTAAGTTTTGAAAGATTAGGGAACACAACTGCTATTCTCCCTTTCTTTTAATAGCAAAACTTCGGATGATAAACATTTTGAAACCGTCAAAGATTGAGGTCCCACGTTGAACGGAAAGGCCAAATGCTAAAAATATGCCGAAAGAATTTCTATAATGCACAGAGGATTATATAAATATAATCTTCAACAGAATCCTTCACATAGTCAACAAAAAGATTTTCGCCTAAACTTCCATAATGCATGTTTGACTAACCTCCTGTTTGAGCGATTTTTTTTTTTTTTTTTTTCATTCTCATTTTTCTACTCATTTTTAAATAAATATTTTTCAATAAAATAATATTTTTCATCACATCAATAATTTTTCTTTCTTTTTTAATCACATATTCTCCATCACATCAACAAAAAATTGCATTATTGACCCCAAAATGTGCACCAAATAGGGTCTAAGTTTAAAAGTAAGTAATAATTATTTTTCTTTCTCAAGTAAAAAAGCTACTATTTTTCTGAATCAGTAAAATCTGGGTTAAATTCATCGTTGGCCACCCAACTTTATAATTGGTCTCACAATTGCCACACAATTTGATTTTATTTTATCATAACCGATTACTTCATAGTTCATATCGTCATGACCATCCAATTTGATTTTATTTCATCAAGACCATCCAGTTTTATATAACGTTGACTATGACCACTTAATTTCATACAACGCTCTGTTTGATACCAATATATTTCAAGGGGAAAAGGAAAATGTTTTCGATTTAACCACTTTTCACCTGTTTGATTGTCAGAATTTTACTTGGAATTCATTTTGCCGGCCTCCAGTTCACGCGCCGATTTTCCACCAAATGAACGAAATTGTTTTCCCATTGGTTGTATGGATTTTTATTTTCCAGCTTTGCTGTTTTTTTTTTTTTTTTGGCAATTAGAAAATATTCTAAATACAATGGTAAAAAAATTATCACTTTTATTGATAATTTTCATATAAAATAAAGCCAAACGAATAGTATTTGGTATGGTAAAAAAAAAATTTTTAGCAATTGAAACAAATTTTAAACCCAATGGTGGAAACAATTTTCATGAAAAATGAAGTCAAACAAACACCAAACTTTCAACATTTTTCAAGTGGAAAATTATACCAATCAAACACAATTAATTACAATTCTCAGTAAAATAATTTTTAGGCAATCCAATTCCCTGTAAAATATTTTCTTTCCACCCATTTTCCACATTTGCAATCAAACAGACCCTAACATTTCAACATGGTCACTCAACTTTTTTTTACCATTTTCATTAATTTTAAAATGTGTAAAACGGTAAATTTGCATTATATATAAAAAATAAATGTTAAAAAAATAAAATAAAAACTAATTTCAAAAATAAAAATTTATTTTTAAAAAAGAGTTACTTAAAACAATTAAAAAAATAAAAAACTTATTTTAAAATAAACGTTTTAAGTTTTTTTTTTCAAAATAATTTTTTATTTTTCCATGGTGAAAAAAATTATCATTTTAATTGACAATTTTTATAAAAAAAAAGTCAAATGGACACCAAACTTTCAACATTTTTCAGGTGAAAAATTATACCAATCAAACACAATTAATTACAATTCTCAGTAAAATAATTTCTAGACAATTCAATTCCCTGTAAAATATTTTCTTTCCACCCATTTTCCACATTTGCAATCAAACGGAGCCTAACATTTCAACATGGTCACTCAACTTTTTTTTACCATTTTCATTAATTTTAAAATGTGTAAAACGGTAAATTTGCATTATATATAAAAAATAAATTTTAAAAAAAATAAAATAAAAACTAATTTCAAAAATAAAAATTTATTTTAAAAAAAAGTTACTTAAAACAATTAAAAAAAAAACTTATTTTAAAATAAACGTTTTAAGTTTGTTTTTTCAAAATAATTTTTTATTTTAATTTTTTTGAAAATTTTTATTTTATGTATATAATGCAAAGTTACTGTTTTACCCATTTTAAAATTAATGAAAATGATAAAAAGAAGTTAAGTAATTATGGTGAAATGTTATATGAAATTTGGTGGTCTAAGTGAATCATTATATGAAATTGGATGGTTTTGATGAAATAAAATTAAATTGGACGACTATTAAATATAAAATTGAGCTGACATGTTGAACAAAATCACATTGAGTGATTAGGGTGACAATAAGCATAAAATTGGGTGGCCACCACTGAATTTAACCCTTAAAATCTTCAATAATATCTCATAAAATATACTTTTTGTCTCATTAAATCTCTGAAATCTTTTCCAGGATATTATTCTTTCTACTAGATATAAAGATTTTCGTCCCTTTTCCCCTTCTTTCTGTTTCAAGATTCAGAAAATTTTGCGGTTGCTCACCTGGGCATGTAAGCCGTTTTTGAAAATTCTTGTAATCTTTTGTACTGTGCAATATCTGTTCAATTAAATTACTGTTACCTTGGCTTTTCTTGATTTTATGGTTGGATTACTCTTGTTTGATTTTGATGGATGTTTATATGTCTCTGTTTGTGTATTTGACAAGAGATTCCGAGTATTTTGAGTTTGGGAGTTTAATAATTTGGGCATGGTTTCTTCCGTAGATGAGATCTAATTAAACTACAATTATGCATGTCTAAAGTGAGAATTTGAAATTCTTAATTGGATTAATATTGGATTATCTAAAAGGTTATTCTTTTTGTCAGTTTACCTACGACGTGGTATTAAATCGATTACGTTTACGCTCAACTTTCATTGCTGAAAATTCAGCAGTAATAACTAATATGGCAAATGGTATAGTTCTCCTGTGAATGTTGTTTGCAGAATAAGAATAAAAATTGACTCGGGTACTTATCACCTGCAACTAAAAAAACCAGTCAGAGGAAGAACTTCTATGACGAACTAGTTATTTCTTTGTTGAGTGTGTATGTTCAACGATGACGAATTTGTTGTTTATTTATGAATCTGGATGATCAAATTGTCGATATTGATGATTTTAGCAGCATAAACTTCCATTCTTATATCTAAACGACATCGAAAAAGTCTTTAGGAAGTTGTCTTTGACTATCAAAAATTGACAATGAGATATTTTTCTCTACTAAAAATGATTTATTAATGCTTAATTTATTTCCATCACTATTTTAGTGTTTGTTCCATATGTTGAACAGAATGGAATCATTTGCACATCAGTTTATTCTAAACTTCTTTTCACTCATTGAAATACATTGCCTCACTTTAGAGTTCTAGACCTGGAGCAATTGAATAAGTAAATACTGTTGTATGCCTGCATCTAAGTAGTTTTTTTCCACCCTTTCTTCATTTCCCATATTTTCAGATCTTTTTATTAATGTTTTAGTTTAAATGGTTCTCTGAAATTTTCTGTTTCTTGATTTCAGTTTGAGATGGGTATATATCTCAGTACTCCTAAAACAGATAAATTTTCTGAAGAAGGTGAGAGCTCTAGGCTTAGTTATGGTCTATCATCCATGCAAGGGTGGCGTTCTACAATGGAAGATGCTGTAAGCAATTAAGAATATAATATGCTTATACTATCTGTTTATGTGATTAATATGCAGGCTTTTAACCAACTACATAAAATACATTAGTGATAATATGTAAGCTTATTTGGTAGTGCTTGTAAGTTGTGTGGGCCCTATGAAGTGTATGGACTATAAGTGGGTAGTAAGTTGTAGGTCCTACGAAATGTGTGGGGATAAAAATATGTTTGACAAGCTCAAATTAAAATTTAAGCTTTACTAAACATGCTCATTATTTAAGGTCTGGTGCAGTGGTTGATTCTTATTGACTACATTCCTGATGTCTGGCATCTGACCATCTGATCTTGTTGGTGCTTGCTGCTGATTAGACAATAATCTATAATTGGATAATACGCATGCATATGGAGTTAATTTAGGTTGGGAAACCTATACACTGTTGTGCTGATTGGTAAAGAATTAATAGTTTGATAATGTGAAATTGTGAACAATGAGCCAGATTCCATAAAGACCATAGTTTAATAAACTAAAACATGGTGTACATCGAAGTCAGGGTTGTGTTCTGATATATTGTGTCATGTTACCTTCTATATGGTTTTTTTTGTTATAGACATATGTTAAGTGATTTTTATGTGCTATACCATTGTTGGCAGTTTAATTATTATATTTTGACTTGGGGATTTAGTGCTTTAATGTATCATATAAGTTTGACTGATCTTAATATTTTTCCTTTAGCACGCTGCAATTCCTGACTTGGATGCATCCACTTCATTTTTTGGTGTTTATGACGGTCATGGAGGTAAGTCCATTTGTTTCTGCTGTCGATAATTTGCTTGTTTCCTTTACCATGCCTCAGATCCTCAGCATATGGAATATATTTTTTGCCTTAAAAATATGAGCTTGTGAAAGATAAACAATCTGTTGCTTGTATGGATTTGTATTTTACACATATAATTTGAAGATATTCTTAGTTTGGAATGGAAGAATGGATTACTTTGACTGAAGTGTCTGTCACCTGTTCCGTTGTTTTTGAACGAACTTTTCTAAGAAATAACCTGCTGAAAAACAGTGTTTCCTCAGGTACCATTACTTTTAAGTCCTTATAAAGATCCTGTTGTTCTCTTATGAATTTTTCATCAACGTGGATGGTTTGGTCATGTGAAAGTTTTCTAGGGTGATACTCCATGCATTTCATGTAAACTGTTAATGTGCATGTGTTGTACCACCTTGGCACACATGAATAGATACCAACTCATCAGAAAGGAAACAAATTGGCTTCTTACATTACCACTGAGCATGTGAACAGCACTCTAAACAAAGGATGAGGGAAGGTTTGACTGAAATTGATAGGCTTCCTTGAGAATCATATGCATAATATACCATATACCTTTTGACTGTAGCTAATTATTTTGTGACTACGGTGTCGGATGCAACATGAAATGGACCAAGTTGGTCATGATAATTAATTAAGCACTTGTTCAAGCAGCATGATCCTATGTCCTTAACTTGCTCGTCATGGCATGGTCTAAAACCAAGAAAATAGCTATTCATTTAATCCACCTTGAACTTCTGAATTCAAGTTGCCAAGTCATATTTAGTGCTTGTGTTGTGGATTGTTTTGAGTTTTCAATGATTTTGATTTAGTTTGCTCTGGTCCGGTCTTATTATGGCTTGGTTTGGTGCTTTCTGAATCCTGTTACCTTGTTCAACTATTGGGTGGAGAAACTCTATAAACTAAAAGCAACGGGAATAAATTGTGATATCGGTCTATCATGCGTCATTACTGGTCTTGTTTCATGATCCATTGTTTTCATTTTCTTCTTCATCATCCAACACTGACTGGAATGATTAGATGGTTAATGATAGTAAGATCATCTTGAGTAACTGGTTGACATTTATCAAGGAAACAGTTACAATTCAAAGTGAATCTTCATTTATCAAGGAAACAGTTACAATTCAAAGTGAATCTTGTTCATTTGTATTATAGTATAGAACATATTGAGCTTTCCCCCAAAAGCTAGATTTTAGTTATTAGATTTCTGAATGGGATTCTTTGCTTGTGTTGATTTGGCCGATCAATAAAAAAAGGGGTTGAAGAATATAATGGCATCAAGTGGTTGTTAGTATGTTATCCGTGTCCCATGCCGTTGCATTTGAGCAAGAGGGTTGAGATGATCCTGGATTTTGATCAACAGAGCAGGATATAGAGTTGAGCCAACTTTTCTTCTATTTCTATTGCATTCAAGTGACAGGTCAAGATGATCTTGAAATATGATCAATGGTATGCCAACTTTTCTTTTATTTTTATTGCATTCAAGTGGGAGGGCCAAGATGATCTTGGACTATAATCAACAGGGAAAGAAAGTGTTGCCGAAATACATTTGGAAATAGGTTGTGCACTTGATAAGATTTCCTTTTGTAGTGTTTTAATCTGGTTGTTTTACGTGATTACTCGGACATTATGACTTCTTATTTCAATTTTAATTCTTTTTTACCTTCTTGTAGATATTACATTTGTTTTTTGTTGACTTCTTAGCCTGCACTGTTCATTTGCCTTGTTTATCCTTCCTTTTTGATTTGACTCACTTGCATTGTTGGGATTGAAATTCCCTCGAATTTGATGATTAGTTATTGTACAAGTTCTGCCGAGTCCTGCTTGTTATTGGACAAAAGTTGTCATTAAGAGCTTTATACTCGTACTCTTGATGCTATTGAAAAAGTATAGCCTTCTGTGCATAACCCTTAATATGGGGCATATGTACACCTCCCAGGGTCGAATTTTCTTGAATGAGAATTAAATCTTGATTTGACAATAACTGTCTTGCTGGTTCTATTGTCAATGCAATCGAATATTGCAGGTAAGGTGGTTTCCAAATTCTGTGCTAAATATCTTCATCAGCAAGTGCTCAAGCACGAAGCATATTTGGCCGGGGATATAGGGACGTCAGTTCAGAAAGCCTTTTTCAGGTATTCTGAAACTCTTGTTGTGCTTGAGTTTCTTGGATTAATGTAGTTGAACACAAGTTTTATGTATTTAAAACTATTTTCCAAGTTATTTTTTGATTATTTATCTTTTGTCAATTGGTTTGCGGATCTGACGAAATGACAAAATGGGATTAATGGAGTTGACCCCAAGTTCATTAACAAGACTTGGCTTGTTGCTATGTCAATTTCAGATTATTGTATACTTCCCACTACACTGTTTCCAAATATCTATTGTTCATGCAGGATGGATGAGATGATGCGTGGACAGAGAGGATGGAGAGAATTGGCTGTTCTAGGAGATAAACTAGACAAGTTTAGTGGTATGATAGAGGGTTTGATATGGTCTCCACGAAGTGGCGACAAAAGTGACCAAGTTGATGATTGGGCTTTTGAGGAGGTGTTTTACTTGCATCAATTAGATACTTGATGTTGAACACCTAATCTAAAAGTTTAAGTTGTCTTTGCTATTAGTTTGGAGCTTGATATGTATTGTTGGTATAGGGTCCGCACTCTGATTTTTCCGGACCAACTTCTGGGAGCACTGCTTGTGTTGCAATCATTAGGGGTAACCAACTTGTCGTCGCAAATGCTGGCGATTCCCGGTGTATAATTTCTAGGAATGGTCAGGTACTGTGCAGCATAAAAGAATTCTTTGTATTATTTTCTGTATAGATGGTTTAGTGGAAGGTATATGTGCTCTTAAATGGACGTTTTGTTGAAGCTAACTTCTCTTTCTTATCTCAACGGTACTGAAATTTTTTATAAGTGCAACACATACGTGCACAGGGAAATTTGTTTCTTTTTTTCTTTCTTTTTAACATAAAGGTCTTGAGACAAATGAATTGTAAGTATTTGTATTAATCTTTCTCATTCAGGCATACAACCTTTCAAGAGACCACAAACCCGATCTCGAGGCTGAGAGAGATAGGATTTCAAAAGCTGGTGGTTTTATCATCGCGGGACGTGTCAACGGCAGTCTGAATCTTGCAAGAGCTATAGGTTATGTACCACTTTGCTTATGTAGTGTTTTTAATAAGTTTATTTGGATAGAGCATGTTTGATACGCAATACAAGTCTAGACAGTATAATGAACAAGATTTTCTGAACTTTTTCTTTCTTAGTACTATCTCGTGCTGTCCAATTTTCCATACTAAATAAATACGCTTTTAATGTGTGCTTGGACTAGAGGCAAAGACACGGTAGAAGCGAATGTTGTTTCTGATTATCGATAAGTTCTTAAATTTGTTTCAGGTGACATGGAATTCAAGCAGAACAAGTTTTTACCTGCTGAAAAGCAAATTTTAACGGCCAATCCAGATATAAATATTGTATGTATCTTCTTTTTTCGGAGTGTGACTGGATAATTATTTTCTTTGGACCTCGTCTGTGTTTCAATTACATAAATATGGAGTTTATGCAGTCACCTGAAATGAACCTTGTTTACACTATGTTTTGGTTGGCTATGAGGACCTTATATTTTGAATTATTTTACAGTTTCCAAGAAATGTTATACGATAAAAACGGAACATAATTTTTTGGAAAAATATTTCATTCTTACATTGTCTTTGTTATTTAATACTCATTGTAACAACCCAACCTCCAAACTCAAACCGTTATATCATGTGTACACTTTGAAAGAGCATCTATCATCTTACACCTCACGTCTTCCTATCGCGTCCCTTAAGATTTGAACCCAGACTTCTACCTTATGAAAGACTTTAAGTTAAATCTTGATGCTAGTCTAGAGGCCTAGGTCGTTGCACTCATGACTTCTAAAATATGAAATTATATTAAGATAAAGAATTAAAAGAGAGATCATGGTACCCTATTTATTTGACATGTAAAACAGTTTCTAGAAAACCAATTTCATTTCGAAAAATTTGGATATTATATGATTACTAGGTTAGTTAATATGAGTTTGTTTGAATGAGTGTTATTGCGTCTTGCTCTTAATAACAGTACTGTTGTTTTTTTTCCGTTCTGATTCTCTATCCAGGTTGAACTTTGTGATGATGACGAGTTCATTGTACTTGCCTGTGATGGAATTTGGTACGCATTCTATACTCCTCTTTTTTCCGATTTATTATATTAAGATTGTGCAACAATTGTTTTAGGCAACGCTGAAATGATTGCAGGAGAAAATTTCATACTTAGGCCCAAATTCAAGTTGGGACGACTTTGTGCTGAATTTGTTAATCACGCAATATGTGACATTACATATTTTTCGTCTCAATACTAGATTTCATGTCTAATTAATCTGGTTTCACTTTTTCAAAATGCTTCCCAGGGATTGCATGTCAGGCCAGCAACTCGTAGATTTTATACGTGAGCAGTTGAAATCTGTAAGTCCTTAGATACTACTTGAGCTGTGCACTATTGAGAACTTTACTGGGATCATACGGTTAGTATTTACCAAATTTAGATTAGATACAGTGAACGATTTGAAGCTGCCTTGGTGACACGAGCCCTTTATGAAACTGTCTAATCACTTCGGTTATTCATTCAAATCTACGTAGATGTAACTACGTACAATTAAACTTAGTTATTTAGTAATATTAAGACCAAAACTTAGTTCATTGCAAATTATGATTTTTGGAATTGGAACCTATAGCGGCAGAAAAAGTTAGAGCGGCAAAGGTAGACCAAAACTAACACATCCTGTGTAATTGTTAAGGATCTGATGCTTTGAGTTTTTTAAGGATTCATGTAGCCGGCACCAATTCAGTCACCAGATATTATCAAATAATTATATAATTACCAAGTCCCTTGCTCAATCTCGATCTTGTTTGATTATTTGCTGCTTTTGCAAGGGTTTAACACAAGACATTTTCATCTCGTCTTTTATAGATGTCTATTATTTCTCGTTCTATCTCGAGGAGATAATTTTATCTGTCCTGCTGTGTCTAAGGTTGATTAATCAGTTTGGTATCTTTAATTTTCATATGCAGGAGACTAAGCTTTCTATAGTCTGCGAAAAAGTACTCGATAGGTGTTTAGCGCCATCTACTGCTGGAGGTGAGGGCTGTGATAACATGACAATGATCTTGGTGCAATTTAAGAAGCTGGCACCGGCATGTACTTCAACGGTCGATAAATCCTTGTCTGAGAAAGTGCAAACCGAGTCAAAACCAACGCCTGCAGTTACTTCTTCAGACGAGAAGTCCTTGTTGGCCGAGGAAGTGCAAACTGATTCTAAACTTACAGTTGCAGGTATATCTGCAGATGAGAAATCCATGTCGTCTGAGAAAGTGCAAACCACATCGAAACCAGTAGAAACCGAATAATAATGGCTGCAGACTTGTTCATAACAGCTGATATTTCTACTTGGATCTGCATTTGTACACAAATTTGCTGGAGCTGAAAGGATCAAACATCAGGATTCGCCTTTCGTATTTTCTTTACCCTTTTACAGTTTCTGTACCATATGCTAGCATTGAAGAAAATGTATAGATCATTCAAGTACAGGTTTTGAACATCCTTGATAACTGTCTTAAAATGTCCAAGTGGTGGATAAAAAGTTTCGTTAAGGCATCCTATTATCATATCTTTTTGGTTTGTTCAGTAAAATGAGCCGTCTAGCATTAGTATTAAAGAAGAGGAAAAATTATACAAATATCGTATTAAAATGATAATATTTATTACTAGTCTAGGTGACATGAATCTCCTCGTTCATTGTTTAATAAAAATGTATGGTATTGAACAATGAACGAAGGAGCTCATAGCCACCTAAATTGGTATTGAGCACCCTTGATGAGGAATACGCTATCCTTTTTGTTATATTATCTTGTCGTCTACATCTAAAAGGTTTGATTCGAACAAAGAGAAGGAAGAGATGGAGTAAAATCTCCACCACTAAAGATTATGTTTTCATTATTTCATACAATGAAAGATGGATTTGTTTCCTTTCTTCACGTTCACTGTCCTCTTTGGCTTTTTAAATTAACTTACATAAATTTCTGTTGACGTCCATTTTTCTCTCTGATTTTATGTGAACTTTATGCATCAGAAATGATTAAATACACTGGTATAGAAGATTATTTGTTTCAGTGTGACGAACCCGTAGAACAATAACTAAAAACACGGCCAGAAGATCGTAGTAATACTATATTATAACTTCTTTTTCTCGTCTAATACTATCTATTTTTGTCTGATCCATTTTTATCGAACATGCCATTATTAGTATCCATCCAATTTGCTATCAAAATCTTTGAAGTAGCATTTGGTACACAGTATGGAAATAGACAGACAGAAACCAGATGACTACCGTAATAGGATGCCATCAACCTAGGATATCTCATGTTTGAACTAATGAAGGAAGAAATCAGATTTTCAATTTCAATTTTTACTTCTTTTGGTGACAGAATCGGAGAATTGTAATAAATGAAAATCTGCAGTTAAGTGACCATGAGAGGGAACAGGGACATGGGACTGGTATTGCTGCCATCGGTGAATGGAAGGCTGTGTATGATGTTTAGAATTGCAGTGCATGTTCAGTGGATGAATTGATGGTTTTCGAGGACGGGGAAGGAAGAAGATAATGAAACACCTCGCCAATTCTATACATGTTCGAACATTATTTTGATAGGGTTCAATCCCACGTGGTCAGGGAAAAGGTAGACAAACAACATAAAACTTTGTCAATCTTGTGGCACAAATCAACTATCAAATTTGGGAATGGAAATGCACTAAAGAAATACGATTCCATTCCAACCCAATTGCCACGTATCCAATGTCATCTCCATGAATTACAAAATAGTACGATAAAATCAAACAAAGAGTGTTTATACTAAAACAACATAGCAACATAAGCATCAATTCCATTGATAATTGCACAAACTACATTGGAAAGAATTAGAAAAGGTCAACATACATCAAGAGGCACCAAAAAGTCACAACATTCAATATTAGTCGAAAATGCAATCATATTTTCAAAAGAGGCATGTTAAAAACCGAAATAGACATTTTTACATGTACACCTTGACAACTGACAGATAAAGGACTACAGTTATGATTGTCAATTGATAACCATATATAGAATATACTTACTGTTTTAGACCAAGGATTTCTCCGAAACTTGTGTATATTAGCCTATCTGCTACATATCCTCGAGTTTACACTTGTCTAGCGCAAGAGGTTCGGCGAGAAAAACCAAACGAAATTCCAAAGTGTGTGCTTTTTAGCGGGTTCTTATCCTATATACAACGAGCTAAAGTTTGATTATCAAAATTTTATTAAATTTAAGGAACGTTGGTATAAAAGATTGAGTTGCATCAGAAATTTATAAGAAATATGGCAACCAACAGTTAACTACGGCTAGCAAATAAACAATACTAAGTTCTTTATCTGGAAAATTATACGGATATTAGACCTGAAGAGTGAACTGATCATGCCATGAGATCTTCCTCTTTTCAACTGCTTTACCGTGAAGTAAGCCATTCTTCGGCTCATTGGCAAATCTCAGTTCCTTCTCAAGAACTTGGTGTTGTCCTCCATCCTCCTCACTTTTCTGTAACAATTGTATAAAAAGGAGCTTTTTATTAAAGATAATCAATTTGGGCTTAATGTTAACTACAAATTTATTTATCTGCGTTTGTTAAAACAATTTGATTACCATGTGTGAATTTGAGACCAGGACCAATTCTGACTTTCCAGGTGCAGCTTCATAGACACTAAGATTTCTTTCGCCTTCAGAGACATTGATTTCTTCATCTGAATTTGGCAAAAGGAGAAGATCTTTCCCCTTATTTGAATGCTTTATTTTATACAAATATTTTTGTCTTCGCCTCAAAAATCTGAAATTCATCAGTTACAATGTTCAATAAAAGATGACAATCCGATCATTATTTTATTCTTTTTACCATGACAAGGGAAAACAATTATCTAACCACTCAAATTGGCTATACAAAATTCATACCTTACTTCAGCAAAAAATGTATCCCTTCTTTGCTTTGCAGCTTTTAATTTCCTTTTCTTCGAAACAAATTCCTGATAAAAAAATACCAGTTAATAATTTATGCTTATGGTCATGAAAAATCAATCTCAGAAAAGAAACTTGATCAAACAATAGATAAGAATCAAGTAAAAATCCTAATAACAAAACAAAAACAGTTGGAAAAAAAAAAACCTAACCTTTTGCAATTCCAAGAATTCATTCGCCAGTGTTTGATATTTAAGCTTTGATTTGGCTTCTTCATCAACAGTATGGGATTGATGAAAATCCAAAGAAGCCCTTTTCATCTTCTAGTTCAAACTCTAATGCCCACAACCACAAAAAACTCAGGTCAAAAAATTCAAAAAGAGTCTTTGAACTTCCACACACATACCAAGAAACCCCAAAAAGGAAAAAAATCCTAGAAAACCACAAGCCCCAGATCAAAAAAATCTTAAAATCTCAGATTTTTTTACACTATAAACTCATATTATTAAGTGATAGGAAAAAGAATTTGTGGGCATGAAATAAAATACGATATAGAATACAATGAGGGTAAGTGGTTTGTGTGGCTGGAGGTGAATAGGAGACAAGTTTTATATCTCCACCTCCGGTATCTTCCCATCCTAATTCCTTTTTTGTTTACAAGTTTTCCTTTTATATTTTTTTAAACATAAATTCTAGTACTACTGGGCCATTGAGGAAAGAGTGAAGAGATAAAGAAACGTGCGTGTGAGAGTGTAATTCTTGGAAGATTTGGACTTGGTGGCGTAGAGAGATTATGTTGGAGGGGGGCATTGTCGTAATGGCTGTGGTGCAGAAAAGAAAGGACGGGATAAATTCTGCAGCCTATTGTTTCGAAGGCCATGTTGGTTTTATCAATCGAATTAGCCCTATTTTTAAGGGAAAATTGTAGTAGCGGTCCCTAACATTTCACTTTTTACAGACTTTACTCTAATCTTTACTTTGTGCCACACACAATCTCAAACATTTAAAAAATATATACATGGGTGGAATATAGGAGAACAACAGTACAAAAATATAAATAAACATGTGCATTGTGAGTGGCACAGTCAAAATAAGCGTAAAGACAAACCTAACTTGCATAACATGAAGTTAATTTGACAAAAGGCGCTCGTCAAAGAAGTAAATAGTTGGTAGGATATCAAAAGATATAGAGGGAATCGAATCAAAAAAATTGGAAGTATCATAAGACACTGAAAGATAGTACAATATTTTGACGCTACCACCGTCACCACAAATCTCAAACAACAAGTGTTTTTCGATTCTCCTCCACTGCAAACGAAATCTTCATCAAATGTCGTAATTTCAAAACAATCTATAAGCTTCTCCCTTCAAACTACTTTTCCCTTCAAGTATTTATAGCCTAAGTTTAGAAAAAGCCCACAATTGTAATCAAGAGCTTTGTCGATGCATAGCCGATACATATTTTTGAAAGGTTTGAGACTGTGTGGCACAAAATGAAGATTATGGTAAAGTTTGCAAAAAAAAAAAAAAATTAGGAGACCCCTGTTGCAATTTTCCCTTTTTTAAAGATGAACGGAACTCTTTTTTTTCACTAATTTATTTTTAATTCTACATTTTTCAAATAAAATAATTTTAGAGTTAAATTAGTAATTTTTCATAATTTTAATTACACATTCTCTAAAAAATCATTTTTCATAAAATTTATTATCAAAAATTCTACATCAAAGGAGTAATGTTATTTAACTCATGTTTGGCCCCCATTAAAATTATCTCTTTCTTCTTATCAATCATACATTCTCTAATAAAATAATATTACATATAAATTCAAATTTTTTCTTCTTTTTTAACCATATATTCTTTTAAAAAAAAAAACACTTCCAAAAATTATAACGTCAAATAATGGGGGCCAAACGAGAGCTTAGTAATTAGCATCCTGGTGTTGAAACAATAGTCTAGATAGCACCAATGTAACATTAAATGAGATGTACAATTAAGTAAATTAATAAATTTATGTAAATAATTATATACAAGAAGTATTTTCCTAAATTTATTCTACATTTCATTAAATATGTTACATAACGTCATATAAATTGGCGTTGTAGCATCAATTGTTCTAAATAATGTTATTCACCCGAACATGCAAGTCATAAGTGAAAAATTGAAATAAATATTGGATGTGATTACCCAAATCCAAATCAAAAAGCTTAGCCCAGCACGAGAAAGCTACTTCAATGTTGTCGTAAATTGCTTTTGTGTCGCATAAGAAAAATAGAATAATGCTATGTGTACACAAACTTTCACACAATCTTTTACACCCCCCTCACATGGAGGGGGGTCCACACATAATAAAATAATCGTGGGCCCCCCTCCATGTGAGGGGGGGGTAAAAGATTGTGTGAAAGTTTGTGGGTACATGTAGCATCACCCAGAAAAATATCATCATCAATGTAAGCGATGTGGACTCCATTAAGTTGAAGTGACAGAGAAGTTCAATGATTGGAGATTCATCTAATATACAGAAACTCTTAGAAACACTAACTCGTCAATATTAATATACTTTTAAAAATTTATATTTTCTATTCAGATTTAGACGTAATTTTATTTTTATTTTAGAAAATAAAGGATACTTGGATAACAATCAGTGAAAGTATTGAAGAATAATTTTAAATTTTATTGTTTATTTATTAAAAATTAAGATCGCTCGGATCAAAATATTGAATCACTGGTCACTATTTTTGGACATTCAGTATTGAGTCACTAGTCTAATTGATAAGTTGCTGCTTGTAGAATGCTTTATTAGGATATCAATTAAGCCATGTTGTCAGAAAGAATTTGACATCTTGGATGACCAACTCTCACATGTGCATGGGCCTCGCATGGGACCCACGTGAATATAAAATGCAAAAAAAATCCCCCACTCACCCCCAACTGTGAGTGCATGTCACCTAGGGTATCAAATTCTTTCTGGCACTCTAGCATGATTGTTGAAATTTTAATGATTAGAATGGTATTTTTTTAAAAATGTTTGGTTAAAAAAGAAGAATTTTTTTTTGAGATTACGTGTAATATTATTTTATTGGAGAATGTGTTATTGATAAGAAGAGAAAAAAAATGAATTATAATATAACGAGGAATAATGATGGCCCAAATGAGGGCTTAGTCGATCATGCGGAATGTACAAATAATG